GGGGCTGCTGTACCCGCCTGGGGCTCAGCCCCTCCCTTTGGCACTCCCGTGGTGCCAGGAAGGTGAGGACAAAGAGCTGGGAGTGCCCTGGGGATGGAGAGGTTTTGTCCCTGCCCTGTGGCATAGCTGCCACCTCTGCCATGAGCCATCCCCACTCCCTGGGCACGGAGCCCAGCCCTGATGGGAACAGCTCCTGGGAACACCGGGCTTGGAGCTCTCCCTGCTTGTTTTTCCATAGGTGTCCAGCCCAGCCCGCTGTGGGCAGTGTGGGTGGTGCACAGCCCATCACAGCAATGCAGGCAGACGTGGCCAGCCCTGGCCTCAGCATCATCTTCCTCCCACGGCTTCTCCCTCCCCAGAGGGACCTGGGGAGCAGCAGAGCTGGCAGTGGAGTGGCACAGAGTGACCCTGGGCACGATGCCATCCCCTATCCTGCAAGGTGACAGGGTGGAGAGGGGACAACAGAGTGACTGAGCACCTGCTGGCACAGCCCACCTTGGTCTCTGCTTTGCCCTTCAGCCCCCTCTGTCCTGTCCCTGCACCCGAGGGCCAGCCCTGGGTGACAGGGGACAGCTGGACCCGCTGCTGCAGGGCTCATGGGGACAGAGATGCAGCTCCTGTCCTGTGCAGCATCCCCTGGCAGAGCTGGGGGTACCCAGCAGGGGGAATTTGGGTCTCCCAAACATCCTGAGGGACAGCCCGGCAGCTCGGGGACAGCATCAGGAAGCAAATGCAAGAGAAAATGAGGCTGCTCTGTGCCCAGTTTGCTGTGGGAACAGCACATCCCATGGCTTCACCCCTGTGCCAGCTCCTGGGGACAGACAACGGGGCTGGAGCCAGCCAGAGGTGGCAGGAGATGAGAGGGAAGGTGAGACAGGAGGATTTCCTCTCATTATTTATTCCCTTTCACTTGGAAATCGGGCAGTGAGCACTGCCAGGCTCTCCCTGCTGCCTCCCAGGCCCTTTGAAGCTGTCTGAGCTTTGTCTGGATGCTCCTGCTGGATCCTGGGGAAGGACAGGATGCTCAGCACGGAGCCCTGCAGGTGCAACTCAGCCCTGAGGGCATCCCGGGACAGATCCCCCTTCCCAAAAATCTGGGGCTGCCCATCCCAGGGGGGACAGGGCTGCAGCCGGGTGGGGACAGCCCAGGGAAGTGTCACCTCCAGCCTCACCCTCTGTTCCCTGGCCAGGGGAATGGGGATTTTGCTTTACACAGCTTGGAAGACCAGAGGCCTTTAAAAAGCCCTGGAATGGGGAATTTTATGGAATGGGGAATTTTACAGCCTGCAGAAGCTGGGTGAGAGCAGCTGCTGCAATAAAGGAGCCGAGGAGCAGCAGCAGCAGCAGCTCTGCACCATGAGCTTCACAGCCCTGCAGCTCTCCAGGAGGATCCAAACAACCTCTCTGCTCCACTCCTGCCAGCCCTGGGGGCCACCAAGTCCCAGCTGCGTGCCATGGGCAGGTGGCAGCGATGTGCCATCTATCAGGAGCTGCTCTGGGCATCTCCCCATCTCGCTGCCTCCCAGCCAGGCTGGCAGTGCTTCCTCCCCCTCCTCCTCCTCCTCCTGCTTTGGGAGCAGCTGAAGGACACACTGACCCCTCCCCAGACACAGATGGGCACGTTTGGGACCTGCAGGCTGCTCCAGGGTGGGGACATTGGACACCCCATCACTGGCTCTGGTATCGCTCAGGGGTTCTACCTGCCCTGTGCCACCTGTGCCACCCCAGGTGTGTCACCACATCTCAGAGAGCCAGGCAGGTCTGTCCTCAGCCTTCTGCTTCGCCCCCAGGGCTGTGGGACAAGCTGGCCACCAGCTTTTTGGGGATATTCCTCCTACCTTGGCAGGTGAAGCAGCGGATGTGGAAGTGGTTGCTCTGCACACGCACGACCTCGCCCTTGCAGGTGTCCCCACAGCGGTAGCACTGGATGGCAGAGGAGCTGCTCCCAGGGGTGTAGGGGTTCTGCTGGTAGGGAACTGCTGGCACAAAGAAGGGAGAGCAAAAAGGAACAGAGGGGAAGGGTCTGTTAAGATGTGGGACATTTCTAGGTGTCACTGAGCTCAGCCTGGTGGCTGTGGGACATCAGGCCAGCGCTCAGGGCAGGGGACAGCACACGGTGACTCTGAGATGGGAGCCCAGCTCTCTCTGGATTTGGGATTTCCCTGCCCCAGGGCACCCTGTCCTGGTCTCAGGTCACAGCGCCATCCCAGAGCTCCCAGATGCTCTCCTGTCCCCACAGGAGCCGCAGGGGACACTGCAGGGACCAGCCCTGGTGGCTTCCGAGCCTCTCTGGGACAGCCCAGCGAGCTGTGAGCTGCCAGCAGCACGGGAAGGAACCGCTGAGTTTTTGGAGCTTTCCACTTGTTTGCTTAGGAACTGGAGGAAGAAGTCATTTGTCAAGGAGCTTTCAAACATCGCAGCAATGGAGTGCTTGGCCCTGCTGGGACTGTCACCTCCTCAGCCCCACGGCTCCTGCTGGACTGGGAGGTTCTGGAAGGAGCTGGGGGGGGGCTGCAGGGGAGAGCAGGGCAGCCCAAAAACCGAATTTCTCCTGCTGCAGGCAGTGCTGGGATTCACCCCCACTCTGGGAACAGCACACAGGTGATGCCCAGCAGCCTCACCCCACGCTCCGGGGTAAAACCCTCCTGATCCTGCTGCTGTCTCATGGCAATTCCCAAACACGTGGAAAAAACAGAGCAGCTCCAGCTTTCCCTGCCCCACCTGGGAGTGCCTGGGCTGTGCAGGAGCTCCAGCCAGGCTGACACCACGCCAAGCACTGCAGGATTTATTTGCTGTAAGATTTCCGAGAGGGAGTCACGCTCTGGGCAACTCAAGCAGCAAAAAGGAGGATTTCAATGGGCCAGAGCTTTTCTGACCCGGTGCTGAACTGCATTCCCAGGAACAAGAGAAGCAGCTGATTGAAAGCCAGCCTGTGAAGTCCATCCAGAGCAGGGAAGAAGGGGCACAGGACAGAGGAGATCACTCATCAGAGGCTCCTCGCTCACCCAGGGGCAGATCAAGTGACAGGGAACAGAAACAGCCCATTATCAGCTTCAAAAGCCAAACAAGAGAAGTCAAAATGACATTGAGACTGTGTCACAGTCAAATCCCCTTCCCTGTGCCAGGTGCCCAGAGACAGAGGGGCTGAACCTCCTGGAGCTGCTGGGAATGGGCTGCGAGGGAAGCTCTGAGTGCTCAGAATCCAGCCTTGGCTTCCAAGAACTTCCAAGAATTTCTGGGACTTCCCCTCCCTGCAAGCCAAGAGGTACCTGAGGCACTAAAGGACACCAAGTGCCAGCAGAGGAGTGACAAAATGAGAGTCAGGCCTAGAGCTAGCCCAGAAGAGACTAATTAGTCTAGACCTAAATCACCCAAACAAAACAAAGGGAGCAGGGAACCCCCACCCAAGGGACACCAGCCCTGGGAACAGGAATCCAGCACCTCCTGTGGTGGTTACTGGTGGGAATGGGTGCCCAGGAGCTCTGCAGCTGCCTGAGGGGACCAACAGGATTTTCCCAAAGCTGGAATAAATCAGGGATTTTCTCTGCAGGGGTCTCTAGCAGAGCAAGAGTTACAGAGCTGAAACTTCCTCCCACGCACCCACTGCTCACACCCTGGCCCAGAATGAAGGCAAGCCCTGGGACACAGCCATGGAAATCCACAAAGCAGGACAGAGGCGGGGGGGGAAAGCCGGGAAGTTCATCATTCAATAAAGAAAAGGGAAAAGACAAAAAAATAATAATCTATGTGAGAATGCAGGCATCACTTAGTGCTGGGCTTCTGGTCTCCAGGGAAAACTTCCTGGTGTCCATAGCAACACATCACCAAGCCCTTGCTCGGTCTGATGGGAGGAAGGCAGAGGAAAAGGAGCTGAGGATGGCAAAGATGCTTTTAGCTCTGCTCCAGAGCTGGGTCTGACCCAATCACTGCTGGGGATGGGTCAGGACCCAGCTCAGGGCACCACCACCCTCCCACTCCGTTCAGCTCCCTGATTTGTGCTAAACCTCCAAGCCAGGCTGGAATTTTGTCAGGGACACATTGGGGCATTGTGTGCCTGTGCTGCTGCCCGCCTCGTGGCCCCGTGCAGGAAGTATTAACACATCCCAGAGCCCCGAGCACAGGGCCAGCTGAGCGGGGCAAAGCTCATTACACCCAAATAATCCCCTAATAATGTAAGTAGCATTAGTGGCCTGGCAGGCTGGGATACAGCAGGCACGGAGAGGGGGTGGGAGCTGCCCAAGGAATGCCATAATCTGCCCCCACTTGGCTCCTGTTTGCCTCGGAGCTGGTTTGGGCCAACAATTCACGAGTTTGTGCTCCACTCTCAGAGCAGAGCACAGCCAGGGCCAGGCTCCCGTGGGGCTGTGCCCGTGTCCTGGCCGGTTCCTGATGGGCTGTGGGTACAGCCAGGCAGGGAAGAGCCCCAGGGCACTCTGCAGATCTCCCCCTGATCCGGATTAAGGTGGCACCTCCGGTCAGGGATTGCAGCCCCGGGGTCAGGCAGAGGTGGCCGTGCACAGCCAGAGTGTGACCCGGGCAAGGGGACAACCCCCAAACAACCCCCAGGGCTGGGCACAGCACCTCTGTGCCCCCAGGAGGGCACAGGGACCCTGCCCCACGCTCACAACCTGCAATTCCCCCCCGTGCATCCCTGGGCAATTCCCCTCCTTCGTTTGGGGAAGGTCAAGGACCTTGTTTGTTTTCCTGCTGCTCTTCCTGTCCAGGCAGCAGCAGGATGGGGAAATGCTGAACCTCTGGAACACTTGGAGCACTTCAGGAGTGGAAGGATAACAGGGGATCATTTCCATCTACCCTGGAGGGTTTGCTGCTCACCACCAACACAATAACAAGGCACAATCCCCATACTCCACATACCCGAACAAGAGCAAAGCAGGAGCAGCTTTCCATGAGCACCCTGAGGCATTTTTAAAGATCCATCCATCCTTGCTTATTGGGAGCAGAGCAGGTGATGCTCTTTTCCCATCTATTTCCCCTATTCCCACCTATTTTCCCTTTTCCCACCCATTTTCCCTTTTCCCCACCTATTTTCCCTTTTCCCCACCTATTTTCCCTTTCCCCACCTATTTTCCTTTTCCCCACCTATTTCCCCCTTCCAGCCCATTGCCCCTCCAGGAAGGTCTATCAGGGAAAAGCTGCTCCAGGTGGGGTTTGGATCCACAGGTAACTGGGAATTCCCACCCAGCTCTGCTGCCAGCATGTTTGTGACACAGCATCTCCACAGGAAGATGGGCATGCCTGGCTTAATTAAACTGCCACTAATTAATATTTACACAACGCCGAGAGAGCCACAGGTGAAGGAGACTGTGGAAAAACAAAGCAATTCACCCTGAAATTAAAAAGGAGAGGCAGTGCCAGCATGGGAAACTGAGTTTGGGGGGTGCCAGGGGTGATGCAGGGACTGAGAGTTGGCACCTACAGCAAGGGGGTGCCAGCATGGGATGGATCCAGCCCTGGGATGGGCAGGGAGATGTGGGTGTCATTATGGGATGGATCCAGCCCCTGGAATGTTGGATATCACTTAGATGCTGGGGGAGCAGCACGGATGGTGCTGGCAGGAATTTTCACACTTCTGTGGGGCTGAACTCCCTTCCAGCATCTTCCCAGTTCTTCCCAGTGCTTCCCAGTTCTTCCCAGTGCTTCCCAGTGCTGGCTGGCATCGAGCAGCTCCCCACCCCATCCCTGCAGGGTCCCTGAGGCTGGAAATCCTCTTCTCAGCACCCCCCTGCAGGTGGTGGGATGCAGCTCCAGCAGGGAGGGTGAGGAAAGGTGGGCATTGCCAGTGGGCATTCCCGGGGGGCATTCCCGGGGGGCATTCCCGGGGGGCACGGCTGGCAGAGCCCAGGAAAAGCTGATTTCACGGCTCTGGGGCTCGGAGAGGCTCAGGAAGAGGAAGCCCAGCCCTTGCCAGCACAGCAGCCCCGGAGGCGTCAAGGCTGAGGGGAGGCAGTGACTGGGCAGGAAGGAATTTTGCTGGAAGCACTGGAGGCAGAGGGAGAGGCCGAGGTGAAGCAGGGGATGGGACACAGAGTGCCGGGCTGGGGACAAAAAAAACAAACAAACAAACAAACAAAAAATTAAAAAAAAAACCAAACAAACCTCTGCTAGGAGATGGGGACAAGGAGGGGACACTCCAGGAGCCTGCACCCCAAATCCTCCAGGGATCCAGGCTGGCTCCAAGGGGGAAGGGGAGGATTTCCCCTCCGGGCAGGAGCTGTGCTGTGTCCCAGGGGTGGCCAGGGAGGAAGGGTGGGAACTCCAGGGCCACGGGATATGGGTTTCTCATCAGCAGCGAGGCCAAAGGCTCCTGCCTGCTGTCCTGCAGCAGCCAGAGCTTGGCTGCAGCCATAAAAACGCCTTGGGAAGGAAGGGGAGGATGGGCTGGCAGCCAGATGATGCTGGTCCTTCACGGGAAAACCTCAGCCTGTGTCCTGTGGGGCTGCCTTGGCCCTGGTATATGGGAATGTGCCTGATCCAGACACAGAATCAGAATTAAGGAGGCTGGAAAAGACCTTTGAGAGCACCCAGTCCATCTCAGGGCCCTGCTGAGGAGGTGACACTGGGGCTGCCAGCAGCACAGAGGGACCCAGGTAAAGGATAAGCCAAATAAAGATAAAAAATAAATATATCTATAAATAAAATATCAGCCAAATAAAATCAGGCTGAAATAAAGGAAGGGACCAACATTTGGGATGCTCAGCTCTGGTGGTGAATCTGAGCCCTGCACAGCATCTCAGTGCTCAGCCTCTGCTTCCCATGGAGCTCCCACAGATAAAATCCATTTCCATCAGGGAGAAAATGCCAGATTTACTTTTGGACAAAAGATTTTCTCTCCTGATGCTCGCCCTCAGTAAAATCCAGAAGCACCCCGTGGTTCCTTATTTAATATTTATGTTTTTAGGCTGGGGTGGGCTGAGCAGTCCTGATGGGCTCAGGACAGGTCCCAGGGATGTGCTGT